TTGGTGTCCACTGTGTAGACTGGACCTGCGCTGTCTGGGCCCTGTTGTCTTGGTTGCACGTAGCGGGACTGGCTGTCGGTGGGCCTGTGTTTGGTGTCCACGTTGTAGACGGGAACTGCACTGTCTTGGACCTGTGTTTGGGGGTGCCACTGTGCTGACTGGGACCTCGGCTGTCTGGGCCCTGTGTTGGTGTCGGTGTAGCTGGACCTGGGCTGTCTGGCCTGTGTTGGTGTCCACTGCTGGTAGGACTGGGACTGTGCCTGTCGTGGGCATGGTGTTTGGTGTCCACCGTGTAGACTGGATTCTGCACTGTCTGGCCTGTGTTTGGTGTCACTGTGGGTAGACTGGTGCCCTGCACTGTCTGGGGCTTGGTTTGGTGTCCAACTGTGTAGACTGGGACCTTGGCTGTCTGGGCGCCTCGTGTTTGGTGTCCACGTTGTAGACTGGGACTGGGGCTGTCGGGCTGTTTTGCGTCCACTGTCGTAGACTGGACCTGCGCTGTCGGCCCTGTGTTTGGTGTCCACCGTGTAGAACTTGGGCTGGGGCTGTCTGGGCCCTGGTGTTTGGTGTTCACTGTGTAGACTGGGACCTGGCTGTCTTGGCTGTGTTTGGGTGTCCACTGTGAGACTGACTGCGCCTGGTCTGGGCCCTGGTGTGGGTGTCCACGTGTAGACTGGGGATCTGGCACTGGGTCTGGGGACCTGGTGTTTGGTGGCTCCACGTGAGGAGCTGCTGCCTGCACTGTCTGGGCCTGTGTTTTGGCTGTCATGTGTAGACTGGGACCTGGGCCTGTCTGGGCCCGTGTGTTTTGGTGTCACTGTGTGACTTGGGGATCTGGCATGTCTGGGACTGTGCTTGGGTGTCCACGTGTAGACTTTGGACCTGCGCTGTCTGGGCCCTGTGTTTGCGTAGTCCACTGTGTTTAGGACTCGGGACCTGGGCTTGGTCTTGGGCCTGTGTTTGGTGTCACCGGTGACGACCTGGGCTTCTGCGGCCCTGTGTTTGGTATCCAGCTGGTAGATGCGACCTGGCTGTCTGGGCCTGTGTTGGGTGTGCACTTGTGTCGACTGGACCCTGGCTGTCTGGCCCTGTGTTTGGTGTGCACTGTGTAGATGGGACTGGCTGTCTGCGGCCCTGTGTTTGGTGTCCGTGGTAGACTGGACCTGGCGCTGTCTGGCCTGTGTCTTGGTGTCCAACTGTGTAGACTGGGGACCTGCGCCTTGTCTGCGGCCTGTGTTTGTGGTCCGTGTAGACTGGGCCTGCGCTGGTTCTGGGCCTGTGTTTGGTTGGTCCACGTGTAGATGGGAACTGGCGCTGGTCTGGAGCCCCTGTGTTTGGTGTCACCGTTCGTAGCTGGGACTGTGTCTGGGCCTGTGTTTTGGTGGGTCCACCGGTGTAGACTGGGAACTGCGCTGGTCTGCAGCCTGTTTTTGGTGTCACTGTGTAGCTGGCGGCTGGGCTGTCTGGGCCCTGGTTTGGGTATCCGACTGTAGGACTGGGGACCTGCGCTGTCTGGCCTGTGTTTGGCTGTCACCTGCTGGGTAGACTGGGACCTGCGCTGTCTGGGCCCTGTGTTTGTGGCCACCGTGTAGACTGGACCTGGCTGTCTGGCCCTGTGTTTGGGGGTCCACTTGAGACTGGACCTGGTGTCTGGGCCCTGTGTTTGGTGCTCCACCGTGTAACTGGACCTGGGCTATCTTGGGGCCCTGTGTTTTTTTGGTTCCACTGTGTGATGGACCTGCGGGCTGGTTGGGCCTCGTGTTTGTGTACGTGGTAGACTGGGACTGGGCTGTCTGGCCTGTGTTGTTGGTGTCACTGGTGTGACTGGACCTGGCTTTCTTGGCCTGTGTTTTGGTGGTTTTCCGTTTTGTTGTTTTGCGTGTCCACTGTGTAGACTGGACCTGGGCTGTCTGAGCCCGCCTGGTGGTGTTTGGTGTCCACCGGTGTTAGACTGGGACTGCGCTGTCTGAGCCTTGTTTTGGGTGCGTCCACGTGATAGACTGGGACCTGTGTTTCTGGAGGCCCCTGTGTTTGGGCTGTGCCACTGTGTAGGACTGGACCTGGGCTGTCTGCGGCTGTGTTGGTGTCCACCGTGTAGACTGGCCCTGCGCTGTCTGAGGGCCCCTGTGTTTTTGGTGTCCACCTGTGTAGACTTGGGCTGCGCTTGTCTGGCGCGCCCTGTGTTTGGTATCCACTGGTGCTGGCTGCCGGACCTGCCGCTGTCTGGGCCCTGGTGTTGGGGTGGTCCACGTGGTAGACTCCGAAGCCTGCGCTGGTCTGAGCCCTGCTGTTTGGTGGTCCCCGTGTAGATGGACCTGCGGCCTGTCGTGGGCCCTGTGGTTTGGTGTCCACCGTGTAGACTGGACGCTGGGTGTCTGGGCCCGTTGTTTGGTGGGCTCACCGTGTAGACTGGGACCTGGGTGGTCTACCCCTATGTTTTTGGTGTCCACGGTGCTGGCGACCTGGCTACTTGGCCCTCTGTGTTTTGGTGTCCAGCTGTGGTAGACTGGACTGCCTGTCGTGGGCCTGTGTTGGTGTTCCACTGTGTAGACTGGACCTGCGTTGTCTGGAGCCCTGGGTGTTTGCGTGTCCACTGTGAGACTGGGACCTGGCTGTCTGAGCCCTGTGTTTGGGTTGTCCACTGTGCCGTAGACTGGGCCTGCATTGTCGTGAGCCCTGGTGTTTGGTGTCACTGTGTAGGACTGGGACCTTGCCGCTGTCTGGGCCCTGGTGTTGGTGTCCACTGTGGTAGGACTGGGACCTGCATTGGTCTGAGGGCCCTAGGTGTTGGTTGGTCCACTGTGTGTGGTAGACTGGACCTGGCTGTGCTGAGCCCTGTGGTTGGTGGTCATGTGTAGACTGGCCTGCCGGCTTGTCTGGCCCTGTTGGTTTGGTGTCCACGGTGAGACTGGGGCCTTGCGCGTGTCCTGACCCTGCTGTTTGGGTCCACCGTGCTAGGACTGGGGACCTGGGGCTGTCTGGGCTCCTGTGTTTGTGTCCACCGCTGTAGACCTGGACTGCTGTCTGAGCCTTGTTTTGTGGTCCACTGTGTGGACTGGGGACCGTGCGCTGTCTGGGGCCCCTGTGTTTGGTCCACTTGTGACTGGGACCCTGCGCGTGGTCTGGGCCCTGTGTATTGGTGTCCACTGGTGGTAGATGGGACTGGGCTGTCTGGCCCTGTGGTTTGTGGTCACCGGTGTAGACTGGACCTGGGGCCTGTCTGCGGCCCTGTGTTTGGTGGTCACCGTGTTAGACTGCCTGCTTGTCTGGGCCTGTTTTTGGTGTCCACTGTGGTAGACTGGCCTGGGCCTGCCTGCGCTGTCTGGGCCCTGTGTTTGGTGTCCACTGTGTAGACTGTGCCCTGCACTGTCTGGGCCCTGTGTTTGGTGTCCACCATGTAGACTGGGACCTGGGCTGTCTGGGCCCTGTGTTTGGTGTCCACTGTGTAGACTGGGACCTGCGCTGTCTGAGCCCTGTGTTTGGTGTCCACTGTGTAGACTGGGACCTGCGCTGTCTGAGCCCTGTGTTTGGTGTCCACCGTGTAGACTGGGACCTGCGCTGTCTGGGCCCTGTGTTTGGTGTCCACCGTGTAGACTGGGACCTGCGCTGTCTGAGCCCTGTGTTTGGTGTCCACTGTGTAGACTGGGACCTGCGCTGTCTGGGCCCTGTGTTTGGTGTCCACTGTGTAGACTGGGACCTGGGCTGTCTGGGCCCTGTGTTTGGTGTCCACCGTGTAGACTGGGACCTGCGCTGTCTGGGCCCTGTGTTTGGTGTCCACTGTGTAGACTGTGCCCTGCACTGTCTGGGCCCTGTGTTTGGTGTCCACCATGTAGACTGGGACCTGGGCTGTCTGGGCCCTGTGTTTGGTGTCCACTGTGTAGACTGGGACCTGCGCTGTCTGGGCCCTGTGTTTGGTGTCCACCGTGTAGACTGGGACCTGGGCTGTCTGGGTTCCCATAATCCTGGGGACTCTGCACCAACTGCAGAGCTGTGCCTCGGGTGCCAGTGGTGTCACCTCCCTCCAGGGGTGTTGTCTCCTCTGAGGCGGCTCCCCAATCTCCTGTGGCGTCCTTGCCTGAGGAGAGGTGGGTCAGCACCGCCTGCTCCGTGGGGGAGCAGGACCCTCCGTTTCCCGGTGTCCTGGCCCTCCAGGGCGTCCGAGGAGCACCCCTGTGCCGCTCGGTCCCTCCCTGGGAGCCCAGAGGCTGCGGCACTCTGTGCTTTCTGTTGGCGGCCGCCGCCTCTATTTCATTTCCTACTACGTTTATAAGTTGAATTCTCCCTATTATCTCAGTCGTGCTTCAGGAGGGCAGGGAGATAAAGTGATGGATTGTGTGTCCTAAGCCTGTGGTCGTCTCGCCGGACCCACAGGCCGCGTCGCACTCTAGTTATGTTTCTGGGGTTGCTGACGAGCTTGAGTGTCTCCTCACTCGTTTGCTCACTGCCGTGCCCCGTCGGGGCAGTTCCCGTCTCACCTCTGCCCCGTCGTGGGGGTCTCCCGGTGCCTGCTCGTTGTTTGTGTCTTTCTCAGGGAGGGGCTGGGGGCTCATGTGCCGAGGCATCTTCTCCCCGTGCTCAGGCAGGACGGCTCTTTGCTCTGTGCGCTTGGCGTCCGGGTCACGCTCATTCCTGTAAGAGATGAGGATGAAGTCTCACCGAGGAGGGAGCCCGAGCTCATTGGAAGCTTGACATGTGTGTTGCTGTGACCCCTCTATGGTTTAGAGAATGGTGGACTCTCTGGTTGCATTTTAGGGGAACAGGAAGATGTCGCCCTCACACGGGGCCCTTCCCTCGCTCAATCCTTCAGTCCTCAAGAGCACGCTGAGGCCTATGTGGGCCAGGACCCTGGTGGGGGCGGCACATGGCAGGCGTCTCACGCCTGCGCTGCTGAGGTTCACGCGGGCTGCATGTGTGGTCTCAAGAATCTGTAAGGTTTGTGTGTTTCCTTTTTTTTTTTTTTTTGACAAAAAGTTCCATCTTTTTCCCAGGCTGGCTAGGGTGCTATGGCTTCAGACTAGCTCACAGCAACCTCAACCTCCTAGGCTCAAGCAATCCTCCTGCCTCAGCCTCCAGAGTAGCTGGGACTACAGGCATGCACCACCATGCCCGGCTAATTTTTTTTTATATATATATTTTTAGTTGGCCAATTAATTTCTTTCTGTTTATAGTAGAGACGGGGTCTTGCTCTTGCTCAGGCTGGTTTCGAACTCCTGACCTTGAGTGATCCACCCGCCTCGGCCTCCCAGAGTGCTGGGATTACAGGTGTGAGCCACTGTGCCCGGCTGTGTGTTTTCTTGATGCTCGGCGGGAAGCACCTTCGAGGGAAGGGACAGGAACACTGACACTGGGCTCTTTAACAACCTGTCCTCTGGTTGTTCCGCAGGAGAGCCTGGTGTGCTTCCAGGAGGCACTGGGAGGAGATCACGGACGTGCGTTGGAAGCATTGACGTCTCCTCTCCATACCCAGCGTGACAGGCACGTCCTGGACAGACGCCTCTCGGAGACAGAAGAGTTGGAACGGGAGCATCTGGAGCTCGAGTGGCTTCCAGTTGCGCTCTCAGAACACAGCCCAGGTGGGTGCCCCTGCCAGCCACCTGGCTCTTTGTCCCCAAGGGGTGTCGGCAGCCGTGAGCCTGTGGACACCCGGGCCAGGCCAGGAGCCTCGGTGTTTTCTGACTCCTCTGTGAAGCGCCTGCACGCTCGGGCCTCCCAGAGTATGTCCAGCACAGGGGTGTGGTGTTGGGTGGGGCTGCTGTCTGGGGGCTCCCTGTAGGGCTGGTTTTTCTTGCGTGTTGGCGAGGTTGGGTAGCAGTAGCCCCGGGGCTCATGGGGGTTGCTGGGGTGGTGACTATTCTCCCTTGGGAAGGGGGGTGTGTACCGGATGGGCCTGGGGGCTCCTCTGAGATCCTGCTCTGCTCCCAGCAGGCCCAGGTGGGCAGGTGGGCGGGCCTAGCCCAGCTGGTCACTTGGTCAGACCATGGTGGTGGGACATCCAGGCAGAGCATGGGGGATGAGGCCGTGGGGTGGTGGGGAGCCGGCGGGATAGAGAAACCAGTCCCAGACATGTGTTTCAGTGGGGCTACACAGTGGCCCTGATTCGGACCCCACGAGGGGAGGGCAGGGCTGCCTTGTGCTGCCTGGACGCTCACTGCCTGGGCTTGGCTCAGTCCTGGGCGTGGCGCCGTTGCTGTCCGCAGTGGAGGTGAGCAGGCCCTGGTCGAGGGCCCCACGCGGAGGGTGTGGTGTGATCAGGCTCCACCCCGGGGTGCTGGGGCTCAGCCTTATTCAGGCTGGGCCAGTGGTTGAGGGAAACTGAGGCTCCACCCAAGAGTCGAGGGGCTGGCACACAGTGGGTGCTGGGGCCTCTCCTAGAGGTGTCTTTCGTGCACCAGAGGCAGCCGCAGCCCCCACATGACGTGTTTAGTGGCTGGGCCTTCTCCCTGTGACTCGGCTGGTCCTCACTGTGGTTCCAGGAGTTTGTGTCTTCCTCTTCTGCGGAAGAAGACACAGGCGGTGGGAATGTGTTCAGTTCACAGAAGCAGCCTGGGGGCTGGGATACAAACCCTGCGGGCCCCAACCTCAGCTGGTCCTTGTGCAGATGCCTCACAGACCTCAAGGACACAGGTCCGAGGACACAGGGTCACGTGTCACCCTGCCCTGAAGGAGCAGTGGCTGCTGGGCTGACCTGAGGTGACCTAGGACAGGACAGTGCTGGACACGCACCCTAAAGGGGACACTTGAGAGCGCAGTGTCTGCTTCCGTCACGGAGTTAGCACAAAAACTTTGAAATTGAAGATGTCGTAACTGTTGTGTTTGAAAGTCTGCTGTTCTGGGGTGGCACCTGGGCTCCCTTGGGCTGGCCTTGGCATGTGACTGTGTTCCCTGTCGCTCCTCTGCAGGGCTTGCTCCGGGGCGTCCCCCGTGTGCGCAGGATGCAGCCTTAGAGGATGACGCGGAAGTGGCTGCCAGAGTCTTGGATTTGGAAACCGAGAATAAAGTTAAACTGTCACTTCTTCAGACTGAGCTCAGAGAAGAAATCGAACTCTTAAAAATAGAAAACAGAAACTTACATGAGAAGTTGCAGCACGAAATCCGTCTGAAGGAAGACCTGGAGAAGGTGAGTGGTGACACAGAGCCAGATGCCTCCTGCCTGACTCCTCGTCTCTTCCACTCGGAAGGTCTTGTTGGGGCCCCAGGGTCTGGGGACAGTCCAAGGCCACACGCACCACACCTGTGAGGAGGTTGGGGCACACGAGTCCTGGTGATTGTTCCTCTCGGTGCTATTACAGTGTGGTGTTGGCATAGACCACCAGGGCTCCGTCCTGAGGCAGAGCCAAGTTCTGACTTGAGATTGCTCAGGGAAACTGGCCCGGTATCCTTGGCAAGAGGAGGCATGAGCCAGGTGGTTGTCACCCATGGCTGCCTCCTGACATCATTCATCTCAGTGTCTTGAGTTACGTCCCACGTTCTCTAGGCTCTTGGGGACTCTGTTTTACAGCTCTGGAAAATGCAGGCACCAACCCCTTCCTAGCCATCTAGTGAGCATGCTGACGTCACTGCCATGCCGTTAAAAATGTTGACAGAGCGGTAAAGCAAACCTCTGCATGGTTATTAAGGACCTATCCCTGCTGGAATCACAGAGTTAATGTGAGCGTAGATTTTCATGCCCCTTTCACGTGTTCTGACCAAATCATGTTCTCCCCATCTTGTGCCTGTGGCCAGGTTGATCATGTGTGTTCTGTGTCCTGCCCCTCTAACTCCCTTGGTCTTCCTCATGAATGTCTTTTTGGATTTTCTTTGTCCATCAACACAGAGTTTCACAGGAAGCTATTACCACCTGCAAGTTTGATCCCATGTAAGTTTTTACAAAGGTGTTGCTAAGGCCTTCAGGCCACACAGAGCCCAGCTAGAGCCCTGTGGCCAGCAAGTGGCAGCAGCCTGTGCTGGCTGCAGTCTGCGTCCACGAGGCCCTCGAGGCACTGTCGGCTACAGACAGAGTTGCCAGGTGACTGTGACACCCATGTTGCTGTGCACGCCCCAGGCCCCCATTTTATCTACTTGTGTCAATCACTGGGAGAGGGTGTAGATTTATTTCTCTTTTAAATTTTGTTAATTTTTGCTTTGAGTATTTTTTTTTTTTTTAGACAGAGTCTCACTCTGTTGCCTGGGCTAGAGTGCCGTGGCATCAGCCTAGTTCACAGCAACCTCAAACTTCTGGGCTCAGGAGATCCTCCTGCCTCAGCCTCCTAAATACCTGGGACTTACAGGCACGCACCACTGCGCCCGGTTAATTTTTTCTATTTTTGGTTGTTTGGCTAATTTCTTTCTATTTATAGTAGAGATGGGGTCTTGCTCTTGCTCAGGCTGGTCTCGAACTCCTGAGCTCAAGCAATCCTTCCGCCTCAGCCTCCCAGAGTGCTAGGATTGCAGGCGTGAGCCACTGCACCCAGCCGCTTTGAGTATTTTGAAGCTCTGTTATTACACACGTATACATTTATGATTGTAATATCTCTGAAAAATTTGCCCTTGTATTGTTAATGAAATGTCCTGTTTTGTTCCTGTAGTAGTCTTTGTCTTGAAACCTACTTTCTCTTTTATTAGTATTGTCGTTGCGACCTTCACGTGTATTTTGTTTGCAGAGTGTCCCTTACAGTACATTTTAGTTTTCATCTATTCAGATGCAGTGTGTATTATGGGCTGCATATCCTGGCGTCTCCTAGTCCACTCTGACAGCAGCTGCCTTTTCTCCGGGGCTCTGGGTCTGGTGATGCTCCGTGGGATTGTTGACGTGTTTGGGCTCAGGTTTTCCATATCACTGTTGTTTTCTATATGTCCCATCTGGGGTTTTTGGGGGGTGTTTTTGTTGTTTCTGTTTGTTTTTTCTTGACTTTTGGATTATTTGAACATTTTCTAGAATTGGTTTTGATGTATCTGCTAACATTTCAATTATGCTTTTTGTGTTGCATCTTTAATGGTTTTAGGGGTTAGAAGGCACATTCTCCACGTCTTGTCATCGTCTCAGGCTCACACGCTGCTGGTTCACAGGCTGCAGGCCGCGTAGGACGCTTATCGCCTGCACTCAGCCTTTTGTGCCGCGGGTGCGTAGGCATCACGTCCACCGTGCTGTGCACGCCACAGTAGACACGATTTGCTTTGGAAAACCATGTGTGTTTGAGAGAAATTAAGAGGCAAAATAGTCTCATACGTACCGTTTCTGGTGCTGTTCGTTTTTTCTTGACGGTCTGAGTTTACGTTTGATGTCATTGCCCTTCAGCCTGGAGAATTTCCTTTAGTATTTCTTATTGTGCAGGTCTGCTGCACACATTTTATTTCATTTGAAAAAGTCTTTATTTTACTTTCATTTTTGAATAATATTTTTGCTGCATAAAAGTGTCTGCATGACAGGTTTTTTCATTCAGGATTTAAAGATGTTTAGAACCCTTGTGTGCTGATTTCATTATTTCTGTCATCTTACAGTTGGTCTCCATTGATTGTATTTTCTCTTCAGCATGCGTCATATTTCCCTGTTTATTTATCAACTAATTTTGAATTGTATCCTGGACACTGTGAGTGACATAGTCGGAGACTCTGGATGTCCCGCTGTGTCACTCCTCTGGAAAGTACTGGCTTTGTGTGTCAGCAGGCAGCTCGGCCTCCCGCTCCCCTGTGTCGTGCCGCGGTGGCGTTGGCGCGGCTCCTTTTGCAGTTAGCCATCTGCTTTCACAGCCCACCTCACATGTGTATGGTGCAGGGTCAGCCTCAGATTCTTGGGCAGTGTTTGCTCCCAGAGCTTGCAGCCTCCCGCCCTGTGGCTCTGTCCTGAGAGCTTCCCCTTCCTTTCCGAGTCTCCTGGTTCTCACATGTAAGATGGGGGATTTCCACGTATGTGGCACATTCCGTTCCTAGTCAACCTAAAAAAGCCTTGAAAAGGGAGACGTGCCCGATGCCATTTGTTTCTTCGGAGCGTGGACCCTCTCTCCAGGCTGTGTCTGCCCTTGGTCTCTAGAGCCTCCAGGTGGGTTCTTAGGTTTATTCAGAGTCATTGCTGTCTCTGGGAAGGTTGGTCTGATGGGAGCTGCTCAGCTGTCACCAGAAGCAGGACCCTAAACTTTATTACTATTATTTCTTTACTCTAATTCCATGGCAAGTTATAAATTTTGTATTTAATAACGTAATTTTTAAATAAGGAGTTGAGGTTAGCTTCACATGCCTTTGTTATGTTTCTTACTGATAATGTTGCGTAGTTTCTTGACCTACTTTCTTTCTCTTTGAAAATCAGGATGTTTGCCTGTTTTGTGCTTTCTCTTTCATCTCCTTTTCCACGAGATGCCTTTACCGTTATTAGTCTCAGTTTATCAGCCTTTTACTGAAGTTCCTCCTGTATCCTGGGGTATGGACTGTGCAGGTCTCAGGAGAGTTGAGTTCGGCCACTGTTTGTTGTCCTCGTTTCTTGGGGCGTCGGCCTTGCTGCCAACTGTCCCGCTCTTTCCGTAGCATCTGGCGTCCCCAGGGCAGAGACCCGGGCACGGCTGAGTTTTCTCCACTGTGGTCTCAGTCTTGACAGGAAGGCCTTGGGCCCGTCTCTGCCCTGCCAGTGAGCGCCTGTTCTCACACGTTAGTTTGTATCAAGGCCACCAGCGCCCGAGACAAAGAACAGTCATTTCTAGGTGCCAGGATTTGGAAAGCATTTTATGTAGGGTTTATTCAATTTTATTTTATTTAGTTTGAAATTAATTCATTTTAAGTTTCTTCCATTCTCAACAACATAAGAAACATTCTCATTGCTGTGTTCGGCATAATGTCTGTATGTTGTGATGTTTCTCTGTCTTCAGAGATGGATTTGGGTCATTTCATTCAATAATCTTTTCCTTTAATTTCTTTCCCCTTGAATAAAATTGTGATATTTATAGGTAAAGCATAATTTAGTTGAAGCCCACCAGGAAGAACTGAATAAAACTAAGGAGAAGAATCAGCAAATGAAACAGGAATTCAAAAAAAAAGAAGCCGAGTGGAAAGCTCTCAGTGAGGATCTACAGAGAGAAGCTGAAGAGAAGTTAACGCTGATGCTTCGTGAGCTGAGGGAAAAGGCTGAGGCTGAGAAGCAGTCAGTAGTAAACAAGTTTGAGCTTCGGGAAAAGGAAATGAAGCAGCTGCAGGACCAGCAGGCGGCGCAGATCCTGGAGCTGGAGCGGTCCCTGACAGAGCAGCAGGGCCGCCTGCAGCAGCTGGAGCAGGGACTGGCCGCGGATGAGGCTGCGCTGTGCGGCCGGTGTGGCCAGGAGCCGCCTGCAGGGGCCGGGGAGCAGGCGCTCCGGGTGCAGGAGGACTGCGCCCTGCAGCTGATGCTGGCCCGCAACAGGTGAGTGGCGAGGCAGCGTGGGCTGGGTGCGCAGCCGTCTGCTGGTCCCTGGAGACCCGACCTCGGGTGTACAGCCGTGGGCCCCGAGCAGGCCTCTGAGGACACACATGGGCTCCAGGCAGGCGGAGAGGCCTGGAAGGAGGCAGAGCAGGGAGTGAGGTGCTGAGTTTGCACCCTGAGGTCACCACAGGACAGCTCTGTGTTAGTAGTAATAGGGACGTGCTGGCGGTGACCGCGCCTGTGTGAGTGCGGCCCCTCTGTCACCTCGCGGATGTTCTCTGCGTGCGTCAGAATTCCAATCGCAGGCTGGGCGCTGTGGCTCACGCCTGTAATCCTAGCTCTTGGGAGGCCGAGGCGGGCGGATTGCTCAAGGTCAGGAGTTCAAAACCAGCCTGAGCAAGAGCGAGACCCCGTCTCTACTATAAATAGAAAGAAATTAATTGGCCAACTGATATATATATATAAAAAATTAGCCGGGCATGGTGGCGCATGCCTGTAGTCCCAGCTACTCGGGAGGCTGAGGCAGAAGGATCACTCAAGCCCAGGAGTTTGAGGTTGCTGTGAGCTAGGCTGACGCCACGGCACTCACTCTAGCCTGGACAACAAAGTGAGACTCTGTCTCAAAAAAAAAAAAAAAAAAAAAGAATTCCAATCGCAGAACCTTAAACCTCATGGACGAGGTGTTATGTGGACACGCAGTTTATCCATATAAGTGTTTTTGTTAACTTAAACATAATTTTTTAAATGAGCATTTTTTCTAAGATATACTTACTTCCTTGAAGTTTTTAGTAGATTTAGAGCACGATTCTGTTCTTTGCCTCTTTTTGTGAGCCTCAGTCTGTTCACAAAAAAAGACCCAAACTCATCAAAATAAGGTTTGTTGTGAGCCGAGTGTGTGAGGCCCTCCTGGAGCACTCGGGCTCACAAGGCCCTGAGGGCTGTGCCAACGGCAGCCCGAACAGTTTGGTTTTGCATGTTCACGGAGACAGGAACTGCTGCATGTGAGACCCAAGTCAGTACACGGAAGGTGTGCATTGGTTTGACCCAGAAAGGTGGGGTATCTTAAAGCAGGGGGATTGTGGGTTACAGGTGGGTTCAAAGGTTCTTTGGCTTATAATTGGTTAAAGAAATGAAGCTTTGTCTAAAGGCTTGGAATGTTTTAACTTAAGGAGTTTGTTAGTTAGAGTCAGGGTCAGGCCTGTTAATGAGTCGAGAAGGGCATCTCTAGAAGGGCGGGCGTGTCGAGGCAGGCCTGACCTCCCTGCTCAGGGCCAGCGACCCAGCTTTGAGGTATTTCCTGGGGGCCCTGGGCCAGGAGCGGGCCCATGCAGTCAGCTGGGAGCTCAAGATTTTATTTTAGTTCACAAGTCCACTGCTGTGGTGGCCAGAGGTGTCCTTGTCTCGGGGTCTTTGGACCTGCTGTTGGTCCTGTCTTATGTCTGCCCCACCTGCCTCTCCCCTGCACCACAGTGGCACGCAAGAGCTCTGCTCTGGGGCTGGAGAGCTCGTTTCCAAATCCACGGCCATCACGTCTGAGCTGCGCAAACGTGGGCATGAGTCCTTAGCGCTCCCACTTTGGTAAAGGCTAAGGGAGGTAGTCTGTGGGAAACACTTTCACAGGCTCAGTGGATGGCACCTCTTGTTATCTGTGTGAACTTAACAAAGCACATCAGTAATGCATCTCGTGTGCCCAGCAGAGAACTCAGAACTCTCCCCGGCCTCTCCCGGTTCCGGGCTCCTGCTGGTTCCTGGTGGGATCCTGGTCCTTTCCTTAGGAGTCTCACTGCCTGCCCTGTCTTGCCCCCACACTGCCTGTGACTCTCTTTAGTTTGCAGTGTCAGGGTGTTTTCCTGGGGCCTTCGACTGCGCTCCGCATGGAGGTACAGAGGTTGCCTGGGTTCCCTCCATTGGGGCCTGGGCCGGTGCCGTGTGAGTAAGCGGCCAGGCTGTGTGCTTCTGGTTTCTCGCTGTGGGCGCCGTGTCCTCCCTCCGGCTGGTGACCTGGTGACTGAGTCTCTGGCCTCTGTGCTCCTGTGGCTTCATGGGCCCCTCCACTCTCCCCCGTCTCTGGAGGTGCAGGTCCCAGACTGCTTGTGGCAGAAGGAGAGGGTGCGAGGACGGTTGAGGTGCAGCACGACCAGGGTGGTGCTTCCTGCGGGAGGTGTGGCCTGGCGTGCGCAGGGGTGGGGCTTCCTGATCGTGTTTTGCTGCTCTGTGTTCACTCTGAATGTCTCCTCAGGTTTTTAGAAGAACGTAAAGAGATCACAGAGAAATTCAGTGCAGAGCAAGACGCCGTCCTGCGGGAGGCGCAGGAGAAGCACGCCCGCGAGCTGCAGCTGCTCCAGGACAGACACCAGCAGCGGCTCCAGGCCGTGTCTCGGGAGCTCGAGACCAGACACCAGGCCGAGCTCCGCGAGCTGGCAGCCTCCTTAGAGAGCGAGCGGCGGGCTCTGCTGGACGTGCGCGTGGCTGAGTTGCAGACGAAACACGCCGCCGAAATCCGTGCTCTGGAAACGCGACACCGGTCCAGCCTGGACTCCGTGGAGTCCTGCTGCCTGGCTGAGATTCAGACGGTGCGGGACGAGCACAGGCGGGCTGTGGCGCGGCTACAGGCGGACTTCGCGGAGCAGCTGCGGAGGAAGGACGCCGCTCACCAGACGGTCTTGTCGCAGGAGCTGGAGAAAGTCAGGCTGAAACAGGACAAGGAGCCTCAGTCTGCACAGGACGGGCCGGGAGCTGACGCGAGTGCCGGGCACGGCACCAGCTTGGACGCCCGGTCTCCAGAGCTGCTGGGAGTGCACCAGGAGCACCAGGTGAGGCGCCACTGCACCCCCTTGTGTGTGCATGCGTGTGCGTGTGTGTGTCCACGAGGGCGTGTCTGCATGTCTTGTGTCAGTGGTGATACTGGTTTCACTGTGAGGCGGGCTCAGAATAGTATGTTGTAAAGATTATTTTGGTCACAGACTTCTTGAGGAAGGTTTCCCGTGGCTCGGGGCCCACCTGCGCCTCTGCGGTTGGGGATCTGGCTCTCGTGCCGCCTGTGCCGCGCCTTGGCCTCCTCTGTTGATGTCTCTCGAGATCGGACCCTTGCGTCACATTCCAAGAGTGGCCCAGTCTGTTTGGCGGCACTTTCAGTCGTTAGCGTGGAGGGGAGTTTTGGTGCCGGGGGCTGAGCCGTCTGTGAAGCCTGTGTGCCTGGGATCCGTGCTCAGGCCACGCTCCCCAACGCAGGGCTTGTCCCGTCACGCACACTTTACACATCTTCTGCCTTCACTCACGTCTCTGGAGTTTTCTTCCCTCAACGTGGATGGGGCCGCTGCGGAGCCGCGGGGAGGGCCGGGCCTGCCTCTGCAGGAGGGTCCACAGGGATCCAGAGCTGACGCCATGCTGGGAAGAGCCGTCCTGTTGCTGGGAGCGTGGGTTCCAAGCTGTAGAGTGGGCGTCTCAGGCCGGGACATGCGCAGCTTGGTGTGAGCGGCTGTGGAGGGAGGAGGGTTTCCTGCTCCATAACTGTGGGTGGCTGCCGGGACTCCAGAATGGCAGTTACTGTCGCTTTCACTCGGCGCTGCGTAAGACGGGAGGAAAGGTGACTTTGCTTTAATAGCTGTAAGGGTTTCATTTTCTGTTTCAGCCTACCTTTTATATGGTCCCAGGTGTGGTCTTGAGAGAATTCCTGGAGAGCAGGTGTGTTTCCAGGACGTGGGCGAGGGTGGAGACAGTTGCCAGTCCCGGGCCTCTGTGTTCGGTCCTTGAGTTCACCTGGTGTCAGGGCGGGTGTCAGGGCGGGTGTCAGGGATGTTCCTGTTTTTTTTTTTTTTTTTTTTTTGAGATGGGCTCACTCTGTGGCCCAGGCTGGAGTGCGGCTGGGACTACAGAACCACTACCATGCCTGGCTTGGGACATGCTTCCTGAGTGAGAATAGAGCCAGGTTGTCTTTCTGGGCTGAATTTAGAGAGAGGTCTGACACTGCTGGGCGGCACCCTCTGGGCGGTGGGTCCCGCCTCTCTGAAGGACGGTGCTTGGATGTCCTCTCGGTCCCAGCCTCACAGGCAAACTCTCGGTAGAGAACAGCACTTGTGAATAAAATGAGGCCCTTGTGTTCACCTAGATTTACTAGATTGTTACTGCTCTTAGTTGTATGTGACATATGACTGATTTCCGAAATTAGAATTTAAACTGTTTATTCACATGGAAGTTCCTAGAATGAGAATTAGGGAAGCATAAAAATGAGATTTCTTCTCCCTGTGTTTAAGGAAGAGTTGGCCTTCTCTGGGATTGTTCCTTGGTCTCTTGGGACCTTGGAGGGTAGCCCTGAGGGGCCGTCACAGGAGCTAGGTGGCTAGAGCTGGAGAACCTTAGGGCTGAGGACCTTGAAGTCCCGGGTGGTTCCGGACACTGGCATTCCTGCTACTTCTGCTTCAGCTGAAAGGCAGGTTCTGTGCGGATCCCCTGAGGAGGCTGCCTCTGCTCCAGGGCCTGGAGGCTGGAGTTGACCTGTGGGGCAGAAGCCTCAGCCCCGCTGTGGTTTGCAGACAGGTTTGTGGGAACCGTTCTGGGTGGGCTCCTGATGCCCTGAGACCCACCGTGCTGAGGGCACCCTGTAGGTCTCCGTCTTCTCTGGAACAATCAGATTCTGTGGCCTCCCTTTTCAGAGGGTTGTCGCTAAAGAAATCTGCCCATTTTATCTGTTTGTAATACAAAGAGCTGTTTACGTTTTGAAACCGTGTCTTACCTTCTTGGCTTAGCACTTTAATTCTTCTGTGGTGACTGTTACCCGAGTGCTCTAGGGTGTCTTTGAAGTATTTTTCTAGTGATGGTGCAAGTTTGCTTTAGGAAGTTATCCATGTGCTTTGGTACAAAGGACATGCATGTTAGAGACTCTTTTACGTGATCGTTTTTGTCTAGCTGATTTCACAGGAAAAACCCATTAAGCTTGGGGAGGTGTGATGTACTGTTTTATTTTATTTTAGGTTAACTTTTTATTGGGAAAGATAGAAGTAGAAGTGGACTAATTTAACATCCCCTGGTCCCGCTGTCTAGTGCACCACTCAGTGCACCGGCCCCCTTCCTCCCAGTTACTTAGAAGTAAATCCCAGACACCACAAGTCCTCGTCTATAAATAGGTCAGTCAGTGTCTGTAAGTAAGGTGTTTTCCCCCCAAGATAACACAACCATGATCCGTTTTAACCAAAACACCAACAGCAGTTCCTTTGTTCCATCACATACCCGGCCTAAGTGCCACCTCTCCCTGCCCTGTTGTTCAAATCAGGATCCACACGGGGCCTCGTCTGCACCAGACCTTTAAAATCCTCTTCCTGTGCTGTTGGTTGGCCCCTCGTTCCCGTGAGCGCACCAGTAGCCCCGCCGCCCGCAGGCCTGTTGCTGGGCTGCTTCCTGCGTGGAGGCCGTTCCGCTTGGCCTGGCCTCAGGCTCTGCCCCGCACACGGGGTCATGTGAGGCCCGCCAGGTCATTGTCTCAAAATAGCGGGGACACACTGTTCCTCCTCCGTGGCCACACTTCCCTGGCCTCAAGTGTCGTCGCACCTGTTTGGAAAGCAGAGTTGCTGGTCAGCAGGCTCGTTGGACACTCGCTCGTGAGTGATTGAATTTCCTCCCAGGCCACTGCCCTTTGGAGTTTGGTTGTGAGAAAAGATCTCTGAAAACGTAAGCTTCATTTCTTTTTGATTGAAATGTGTATCCCATTGAGAAGTCTCCCCTAGGCCGGCAACACTAAGCAGAGTTCTGGGACACAGGAGTAGGTTGTGATATGACCAGCATTGGTTGCTCAGGGCGATTTTATCTTTTCTTAGATAAGAAAACCAAATTTATTCAGACCTTGATATTTGAAAATATTAGGAGAACCTGTGGTCGGCTTAGATGTATTCCAAGTGTCTTTAATTCATTATCCGTTGGATGTGTTTCACCCTCACCTCAGTCTTCTTTGTGCAGTCCCACTTTCTGATTCTCCAGGCATGTGCATTTTCTTAATGATTAAAATGTACAACGTCTTCTTGTAATTCTATGCATTTTTTAGAAAAACCGGAGAATAATTTTTTTAAAACGTCCTTTCTGTATTGTCATTCCCATTTAGAGCGTGGTAACCGAGACAGCTTTATTCCAGGGTGGGAACAGGCATGACCGTCAGTGAAGGAGCCTGTGGGGTGCAGGGTGGGGCCTCCTTGCAGGCTGAGGGGGTGGCCCAGGGACACACTGGCCCAGCTGTCCTGGAGGTCGTGGGCCTGTGAGAGCGGGTGCTCGCTGCACTCCCGATGCAGGGCCGTGCAGACAGAGCAGGGCCTGGAGTCCCTGCCCCCCCTCGGGCAAGAGGTCAGGGCGGCCCCCCATGGGTCACGAGAGTGTGCTTGAGGCCCTGCGCGGCCACTGTCTTGCCACACTCGAGTCATCTCAGTGCACGTGTGTCTCTGTGAACTGCCTCGAAACCCTTCCTGAAACACAGGGAGGCTTGAGGAACGTGATAAGCTGAGCTTCCAGCTGCAGAGGGGCCTGATGCTGTCTGCTGGGGGCCTCTAGGCCCACACGGGAAGGGGCGCAGCGTCTGCCCACGCTGACCGTTCCTGTCCAGGTTCTGTGTGCGCCTGCCCGCCGCCCTCTGGTGGCCTGGGAGGCTCAGGTCACGGAGGAAGAGAGATGGCGTGGCCCGCTGGGCCGTGCTCCTGAGTGTAGGGAGTATGTTAGGCTTCTGTGAAATATTTTTGCCTAAACAAAGCGCCCTGTGGCTCAGAAAAGTTTTCAAAGAGCCACTCATCTCAGCCTCCGAGCTCTGGCATGTCTTGCTGGGCGAGCACAGGGCTGCCGGGGTCCTGCAGGCGGGTGCTGAGGGCACACATGGCACACACATGGGCCAGGCCCCGGGAAGCCCGCCCACCACGGTTGTTTGCAGCTCTGCTGCCAATTCTGATTTATCGTGGGCACTGTGGGGTTGCCCTTTCCTGGGTGTTGATGTTTTTCTTTTCTTCCTGGTTCCTTGGCCTTAGTCCTGTCAGTCTGTGGTGCCGGCTGGCATCAGGGTCCTTGAATCGCTGATGTTCTGTGGTTGGCAGGCACGGGCCGGCACCCTGCTCACCTCCTTCCCTGGGCTGCGTCTTCCTTCCTAGCTGTGGGGGGTGCGGACCCTCCCGGCGCCACTTCCTCTGGTGGTTGGGGTACAAATGAGGTAATCAAAGTACTTCAGAGACTTTGTAGTGTGTCACAGAAACGGCATTAAATCTATTTCAGGAGAGAAATTTTATAAAAGTGACTGTGTTCATAATTCAGAAATGGTCTTCAGAACTTGAGGGTGTGACAGTGCTGTTCCATGTCAGTTCTGTTTTCTGAGTGTGGCGATTCAGGTGAGAGTCCTGAGCCCACCTGTCGTCTCCGGCAAGTCCCAAAGGGATTGCCTGCCAGTCCCTCGCACCCTTCCCCCGTGTGCTGTCATGTTTGTTGAAGGTGCAGGGCAGAGGTGCTCTCTGGTGTCAGAGCACCCATGTGTTCATAGCGCTTTGGGAAGGCGCCGGCTGGGTGGTGGGAGTCCAGCTCCCTGCGCTCTGGCGGAGTTGGAGGAGGAGAGGCAGGCTCGGCCCTGCCACCTACAGGCCTGCCAGGGGCTGCACTTCTTGCTGTGCTTTCCCACCTGCAAAGAAAATTTTCTTTTCTTTTAAATTTCAGAATATTACAGGGGTACAAATATTTTGGTTCCATGAATTGCTTTTGTGCAATTTGAGTCAAAGTTATAAGTGTGCCCATTACCCATATAGTGTGCATTGTACCCCCAAATTTTATTTTCAATTAATTTTTAATATGCAGAGTTAAAACATAGAATAATTTCATTGCTTTGGAAACTGAGCTTTTTCTGGGTAGCTTTTCGTCTTGCATTTTCATATTTAAATTTGCTACTTAAAGTACTTTTTCTGCTAAGAAACTATTATCAGATATCTTAGATCCAAGAAAAGTTTGATTCTAGAACATTTTCACTGCCTCAGAAAGAAACCCCTTCCCCGATTGCAGTTGCTTCTCATCCTCCCTTCCCCTCCCCCAGTCCCTGGGAACCTCCAATGTACTTTCTGTCTCTGGATTTTCCTTTTCTGGACATTTTATATAAGTGGAATCACACAACATGTGCCATTCTGTGCCTGGTGTCTCTTGCTGAGCATGATTTCTGGGCTCATTCACATCACGCTGTGTGTCAGTACTGGGCACTTGTCGTCTGTGTGTCCGTCCTTTTGCTCCCCTCTTCCTCCGTCACCACCTGCATTTCACCTTGACTTCCTTGGTGTTTATTTTACTGTGCTGTAGCCCACCTTATCCACAGGGCTGTGTCCTGAGACCCCCGGTGCCTGGAACCAGGGGTGGTGCTGAGCTCGCCCTGTTATCACTGTGTGCACACATGCTTGGGATGGACTCTCGCCTCTCCCCGTGAAGGAGCACGTGGAGCTGCTCTTGGGCAGCTTCTCTGTTCCTGCGCTTGGAGACCGTGGATGACAAAGGGGAGGGTGACTGGGACACAAGTGCGGTTGCCCTGACAGTTGGTCTCATCACCCGGATGGCTGCCGAGAGACTGGCAGGTGTGCAGCACAGGGGGATGAGCGGACAGAGGGGTCATTCACGTCCCCTTCCTGGCTGGGTGACGTAGATGTCACCACGATGTTCGGAATGGCACACAATTGAAAACTTATGAATTGCTTATTTGTGGAATTTTTCATTTAATATTTTCAGACTGAAGTTGACCACAGGTAACTGAAACTGCAGAAATGAAACTACAAATAAGGAGGGACTACTGTTTACTTTTTTGAGAGGTTTTTTTCTTAGTGCTTTCCCTGGGCATTACAGCAAATACTTTATAACAGTCTGGTTTAGATTAATGCCATCTTAATTTTATTTTAATTTATGTTTTAGAGACAGAGTCTTGCTCTGTCGCCCAGGCTGGAATGCAGGGCTGTGACCACAGCTCACTGCAGCCTCAAAGTCCTCCTGGGCTCAAGTTTCCTCCCCCCTTGGCCTCCTAAAGCATTGTGGTTACAGGTGTGAGCCACTTTGGCCGCAACTTAATTTTAATCGTTTACAAAGCGATTTGCCTATGTAGCTTCATTCCCTCTTCCCTCCTTTGTGCTAATATTGTCATGCAAAGTACGTCTTTGTGTATTCTATGCTCATTGTTTTGTGTAGTTGTCTTTTAAATCAGATAGGAGAAAAAAGAGTTACACAAAGCACAATTATTTTATCTCATATGTCTATCTGTATAGTTACCTCTGTTGGTACTCTGATATCTTCCTGTGGATTCAGGTTACTACCTAGGGTTGTTTTATTTCAGCCTGAAGGACTCCCCTTTAGTGTTCCTTACAGGACAGGTTTGCTAGTGATGCATTTTTTCAGTTTTTGTTTTTTGGGGACTGTCTTAATTTTGCCTTCATTTAAAAAAAGTTTTTAAATTTTTTTTATGGGGACAGGGTCTCAATATGTTGCCTAGGCTGATCTTGAACTCCTCACCTCAGGTGATCCTCCCTTGTCGGCCTCCCAAAGTGCTGGAGTTACAGGTGTGAGCCACCACACCTGGTCTCCTTTTCAGTTTTTTTTTTTTTTTTTTTTTGAGACAGAGTCTCGCTTTGTTGCCCAGGCTAGAGTGAGTGCCGTAGCGTCAGCCTAGCTCACAGCAACCTCAAACTCCTGGCTCAAGCAATCCTCCTGCCTCAGCCTCCCAAGTAGCTGGGACTACAGGCATTCGCCACCATGCCCGGCTAATTTTTTTTTTTTTGTATATATTAGTTGGCCAATTAATTTCTTTCTATTTATAGTAGAGACGGGGTCTCGCTCTTGCTCAGGAACTCCTGACCTTGAGCAATCCGCCCGCCTCGGCCTCCCAGAGAGCTAGGATTACAGGCGTGAGCCACCGCGCCCGGCCTCCTTTTCAGTTTTGAAAGATGATGTCCTGGAAATAGAATTCCTGGTGTGCAGTCTTTTTGTTCAGTCCTTGGTATGTGCTGCCCCATCTGAGCTCTGGCTTCTGATGCAAGTCAGCTGATGGCCTCACCGAGGGTACAGTGGGTGAGTCGCTCCTCTCAAGATTCTGTCTTTCAAAAGTTTGATCATGATGTGTGTAGGTTTCAGGATCTCTTTTTTGAGCTTATCCTACTTAGAGTTCACTGAGCTTCTTGTATGTGTAGATTAATATTTCTCCAACAAATTTGAGAAATTTTTGGCCATTCTATCTTCAAGTATTCTTTCTTCCCCTTTCCTGCTCTCTCTCCTTCCAGGACTCCTGCCATGTGTGTATAGGTTGGCTCGAGGGCGCTCCACAGGCCTCTACTTATTTTTCTTCATTTTTCTTTCTATCCCCGGAGTGGATAATCTTAACTGACCTGTCTTCAAGTTTGCTGATTCTTTATTCTGCTTACTTGAATCTGCATTGGGGCCCCCAGTGAACTTTTTATTTCAGTCATTGTGCTGTTCAGCTCCTGAATATCCAGCTAGTTCTGTTTTATCACTTTTATTTCTTCCCTGAGGGGCTGTGTCTGTGGGTGATGCCTTCAGTTTGCAGCTCTGCATTAGCGTCCGCTTCCTGCTCGTGCAGAGCGGTCAGGGCAGTGAGAAGTGGGTGCCGGGGCCTCCTTAGCCTCTCCTGGCATGGATGCTGCCCCACACATGCTTGTGCCTTCTAGATCCCTAGAGTATGTTGGAGCTTTCCAAAGCCTCCTGTGGACATCTCATTCTCTGGTGTTTCTTTCTCAGTTTTTTGGTCAGCCTCTTAGTATCCCAGCTGGTGTCTCCATCTCAGGCAGCGTTGTCTTCAGCAGACCAGCTGGAGAGAGAGTTGTTGGCATGGAGTGAATTCCGACCCTGGTTGCACAAGACCAGCCCTGAGAAGGGGGTGCTTGGAGTCCGTTCTGTCCCCCACCAGTGGCTACTGGTTTTTAGGACTGCCACAGAGACTGGAGAGGAGGGGTGGGATTGGGCCGGTTCAGTCACCCCAAGTCTCATTGTTCTGACAGAGAAAGAGGCTTTATCTTTTAAAACGGAAAGAGCCTAGGTTTCTAAAAACCTTGGATTTTTTTGGTCATAATCCCCTTAAAATGATGAATTTCCTAGTCTGTTGGAGATGACCCAAGGCACTGGGGAAAGGTAGCGAGCTGTTTGCCACACAGAGCTGTCGCCAGTGCGAGCTTCTGCCCCGTTTGGTGTGCCGTCCCCAAAAGGAGAATTTCTCTTACATTGTCCATAAGCTCACTTGAGGCCGTGTTTGCCCCAGTCAGCAACCTTGGTCTGTTTTTCCCGACTCTTGATATGTGTGGGGCTTGATGAATATTGGCTGAATGTGCTGAGTTCTAACTCACAGCAGAGAAATGGAATAAGCATGATTATCTAGCTTAATGGTATTTGTGTTAACGTTAATGTGTACAGGGTGAATTTGAAAGCGAAAAGAAAGCTGCTTTGCATGCAAAGCAGGAGGCGTGTAGACCTGAGAGCGAGCAGGCACAGGCTCTCTGCCGAAAGGAGAAAGAATCTTTGTCCCTGCAGCTTCAGGAGAAGGATGCCCAAATCCGGCAGGTATGTACCATGCGCCCTTTCTTCATTATTGCTGGTTTTTTTGATGGTAAGTGATGTGTAACATAAAATTGATAATTTAACCATTTTCAAGTGTACATTTAGCATCATTAAGCATGTTCGCAGTGTTACTGAAACTCTGTCCCTGTCAAATAAGAATTGCCACTTTCTGTGTCCAGGGTTGTGACCACTCGGGGCCTCACGTAAGTGGAATCGCACAGGACTTGTCCTTCTCTGACTGGTTTCCCTTAGTGTAATGTCCTCAGGGTGTGTCCAGGCTGTGGCCTGTGTTGGAATTTCATTCCATTTTATGGCTGAGTAATATTCCCTGGTGTGTACAGACCCACATTTTGTTTATTTCTTTTCTTTTTTTTTTTTGAGACAGAGTCTCACTTTGTTGCCCAGGCTAGAGTGAGTGCCGTGGCGTCAGCCTGGCTCACAGCAACCTCAATCTCCGGGGCTCAGCAATCCTACTGCCTCAGCCTCCCGAGTAGCTGGGACTACAGGCATTCGCCACCATGCCCGGCTAATTTTTTGTATATATATTTTTAGTTGGTCAATTAATTTATTTCTATTTTTGGTAGAGACGGGGTCTCGCTCTTGCTCAGGCTGGTTTCGAACTCCTGACCTTGAGCAATCCGCCCGCCTCGGCCTCCCAAAGTGCTAGGATTACAGGCGTGAGCCACCACGCCCGGCCCATTTTGTTTATTTCTTATCATTGATGGACATTGAGGTTGTTTCCACCTTTTGGATATTGCGAATAATGTGGCCATGAACATTGGTGTACAAGTATCTGTTTGATTGCTGCTTTTTAATTTTTTTTGGTATGTATCTAGGAATGGAATTGCTGAACCATGTAGTAACTCTGTGTGTTTTTTTGTTTTTGTTTTTCTTTTTTGAGACAGAGTCTCACTTTGTTGCCCAGGCTAGAGTGAGTGCCATGGCATCAGCGTAGCTCACAGTAACCTCAATCTTTGCCCACCTCGGCCTCCCAGAGTGCTAGGATTACAGGCGTGAGCCACCGTGTCCTGCCCTATAACTCTGTATTTTAACTGTTTGAGGAACCACCAAACTGTTTTCCACGGTGACTGCAATATTTTACTTTCCTACCTGCAGTGCCAAGGGTCTAGTTTCTCCATATCCTCACCAACATTTGTTATTTTTTGTTTTTATGGTCATAGACATCCTGGGGGTGTGAGATGTGGTATCTTGTCGTTTTGATTTACATTTCCCTCATGATTAGTGACGACAAACATCTTTTTAGGTGCTTGTTGGCCATTTGTTTATCATCTTTGGAGAAATGTCTATTCGACTCCTTTGCCCATTCTTGAACTGGGTTGTTTGGATTTTGCTGTTAAGTTGTCCTGTATTACTTTGAAGGTACAGATGTGTTTCCCCACTGTTTTAGAGACAGTCTCACTGTGTAGGTCTGTCAGCGCAGTGCGGGCGCTGTGACTCGGGTCTCGCAGCCCACTGGGTGGGAGCTTTCCAGAACAGGAACTGGAGGCGTCCTTCGCCTGTGACTCGTGCAGGGCGCTGTGCCGAGTGCTGCAGAGCCTTCTCGTTTCCACACAGTTCTTTCCTGCCCACTGTACAGATGCCTCAGATACCACTGTCCAGGAGAGGTTCTGTGACTTTCCCAAAATGCCATGGTGATGGAGCGGCAGAGTGTTTTGGTAGGACAGGGATTGCTGTCTCCCAAAGGGCCAGGGCAGTAGGCAGACGCCCCTCCTGTGCCGGGGTGGGGGCGTGGCAGGAGCCTGGGGCGAGAAAGGTCTAGGTGGAGCCCTGCAGCCTCTCTGAGGCCTGGCGGGCGTTCTGTGAGGGAGAAAGGGCCTTTCCAAATGTTTCCTAAATGTTTTCTTCAAAGTAACAGGCAGTTCTTCTATGATACAATATACACATTCCTAATAAGCTTCCTATTCCATAAAAAACACAAAAACTAACGTAGTTCATGGGCCCAATAGAGTTAAAAGTATCCCACTCAAATCCATGCAATTTTATAACTGAAGTACCAAGAAAAATAGTATCAGTTCTAATGAAAGTATTAGCACAGTTAAAAATAAATGTTAAATTCCGAACTAACAAATTATAAATCCGACATAGTGATTTACCTTTGAACAGTGGGGTGATAGTTTGCTGGAGGGATGCGGGAGGGTGTGGCCTGGTGGGCGTGTCCAGGCTGTGGTGTTCTGCACGTGTAGTGGGCAGGCTCGTGGCCGGCCTGGGTGTCAGCGCTCCCAGGTGCTCTCTAGACAGAGTCGGCTGTCGTCGCGGTGGCCCCTGCTGGCCCCCAGCCACGGGGCCTGTCCACCAAGGGCCGGCCCGGGCGTGAGCTGCGGTGCGGCCTGGTCCACAGTGCAGCCCGTACACCATGCACTGCCCACGCCAGCCTCGAGCTGTCAGGCACAGCGTCTGTGTGCTGCAGCATTTCGGGATGGACTGTTCATCTTCTGTGTCTCTTGGTTACTTTTTGGTCATTATTTGCCATCTTGAAACTTGAAATTCCCTATTTGTTCCATTTTCTTTAATTTTCCCAGCCTGTGTGTCTCAGTCTGAGTTAGCTAGTGGTCTTTATAGAATCTGTATTTTCCTGTTTTTATTCTGAGGACACCATTGAATCCGTGTTTACAGTCAGCTTCCAGTCCCTGTAATGAAGGGATTGCAAAATCATACTCTTCTCTCTCCTCTGGTGTGTCACCGTCTTGCACTTTCTAACATCCTTGTCTGTCCTCCCACCCTGCACAGCTGCTCTCCCTCATCCTAGAGGTCGTGGTGGGGGCTTCTCTGTCCCCATCCCTGTGCTGCCCCAGCCGTGGTCCCTGAGGAGGAGTGTGACCTCAGCCACACTCTGCCAGGGCAGCTGGTGCTGCCAGGACACTGCAGGTGTTGGTTCATTCTGTTCTTAGAGAGAAGTAGGTAAGAAGGGTCTTTGTCTGCCTGGCAACTAATGTTTGCTGTGAGTGCCAGATACAGTGATTTTATTTTGAATTATTATTTGTGAGATGAATCTCTGGTGAGTCTGCCCCTGTCCTCCCCTGGTGGCAGGTGTGGGCTCGGGTTGTTTATTCCTTTTTTGTAAGTGACGAATAATGGAGAAAAAACCACATTAATAATTTTTGCCTTTGGGCTAGGTGTGATGGCTCACGCCTGTAACCCTAGCACTCTGGGAGGCCAAGGCGGGTGGATTGTTTGAGCTCAGAAGTTCAAGACCAGCCTGAGCAAGAGCAAGACCCTGTCTCTACTAAAAATACAAAGAAATTAATTGGCCAACTAAAGCTATATAGAAAAAATTAGCCGGGCATGGTGGTGCATACCTGTAGTCCCAGCCACTTGGGAGGCTGAGGCAGAAGGATTGCTTGAGTCCAGGAGTTTGAGGTTGCTGTAAGCTAGGCTGATGCCACAGCACTCTAGCCCAGGCAACAGAGTGAGACTCTGTCTATAAACAAACAAATAAATAAATATTTTTGCCTTTAATCACCACCTTGTTCATCTTTCTCCATATTCTTACTAAATGTGCAGACTTTACAAGCTGAAAATATTGAAAGTTGAGGAGCGCACGTATGTGCCATCATAAAGCTGAAAAATGTTAAGTCAAACCGTTTAAAGTTGGGAACTGTCTGTACTCATGAAAGTTATGTTGAAAGTCCCCTACAGTCATTTATTTTTAAGTAAATTGTTTGAGTGTTGTTTTGTTTTTTGAGACAGGGTCTCCCTCTGTCACCCGGGCTGGAGTGCAGTGGCGTCATCACAGCTCACTGCAGCCTCAGACTCCTGGGCTCCAGCGATCCTTCTGCCTCTGTCCCCTGAGTAGCTGGGACTGCAGGCATGTTACACTACGCCTGGCATATTTTTAACTAAATGGTTTTAACTAAAGCTTGAAAAAATTTTCTCAATAGCTGGAAGAACAAGTTTTATCCTTAAGCCAGAAGGTAGAAGAGAGCCATTCTGAACTGGAGATGCTGCAGCAAAGGCGTGACAGGGAAAACCAGGAAGGCGAGAACCTCATCTCCATGCTCAAGGCCGACGCCGACCTGTCTCACAGCGAAAGGTCAGTGTGTCCTTGTCAGCCGCGATGGCGCTCTGCAGTCCTCAGTGTGCCTGAACCTCCCCCTCCCCGGTGTCGGGGTCCCCACGACTTGTCTTCATCCCTCACGCAGGCGCACGTCCGCGGCTCACAGAAAGGCAGCTGCCCGCTGGTGGGCGCTGTGCGCCTGCTGTGTGGAACTTGCGTGTGCCTCTGAGACTGGCCCATGAGGTCGCCATAGCCAGATCCCTTCATTTCTCCACTGTGGAGGCTCACGTGTGGGTGTCGCAGCCCCACTGGAGGACGCCATGTGTCCTGACACACCCATGCATGTCTGGGGCTCACCTGTGCACGGGGACCTGCCGACGGGCGGTCCTGGGTTGGCACGGGCGTTTGCTCACCACATTGCTGTACTGTCTCCTCTGGGAGCTGCGTAGCCCAGGCCTGTGTTTTCCTCGGGGACCCGTCTCCCCCATTGAGTGTGAGGTCCTGTGTATCCTGGGGCTGGTCCTGAGCACCCCTCCCCTGCGGTTTGATGCTGCGTCGTGGACCCAGCTGTCCCTCTGTCCTGGAGGAGGTCTTATTTAAGACAACAGTTTCCCACTTTGACCCACGCAGGGTTTCTCCTGTGTTGCCGTGTTCTGCAGCTTTGCTTTCTGTGCATGCCCAGAGTGTGCCTGCAGTTGTTTGTGTCTGATGTCGGGAGATTCTCTGGCTTTGACCTGTCTGGCAGAGCAGTTGGCTCAGCTCCATGTTGGAAACCGCAGTTTCCCCCACGTGCGCCTGTCCTCTCCAGGTGCACCTGTCCTCCCCAGGTGTGCCTGTCTTCCCCGGATGCGTGTGTCCCCCCTGCAGGTGCGCGTGTCCCCCAGGGGTGCCTGTCCTACTTAGGTGTGCCTGTCCTCCCTGCAGGTGTGTGTGTCCTCCCCAGGTGCTTCCATCCTCCTTAGGTGCGCGTGTCCTCCCCAGGTGTGCCTGTCCTCCCTGCAGGTGCGTGTATCCTCCCCAGGTGTGCTTGTCCCCTCCAGGTGCCCTTGTCCTCCCTGCAGGTGTGCGTGCCTCCCCAGGTGCATCTGTCCTCCCCAGGTGCGCTTGTCCTCTCCAGGTGTGTGTGTCCTCCCCAGGTGCGCTAGTCCCCTCTAGGTGCGCGTGTCCCCCCCAGGTGCACGTGTCCCCCAGGTGCGCCTGTGCCCCCCAGGTGCTCCTGTCCCCCCCAGGTGTGAGTGTCCCCACAGGTGGGCCTGTGCCCCCCAAGGTGCGCGTGTCCCCCGCAGGTGCGCCTCTCCCCCTCCAGGTGCGTGTGTCCCCCCCAGATGCTCGTGTCTCCCCCAGATGCACCTGTCCCCTCCAGGTGTGCTTGTCCCCCCCAGGTGCGCCTGTCCCCCCCCAGGTGCGCGTGTCCTCCCCAGCTGCACGTGTCCTCCCTCCAGGTGCGCGTGTCCTCCCTAGGTGTGCCTGCACTCCCCAGGTGCTTCTATCCTCCCTAGGTGTGCGTGTCCCCCCAGATACTTGTGTCCCTCCTGGTGTGCGTGTCCTCCCCAGGTGCGTGTGTCCCCTCCAGGTGTGTGTGTCCCCTCCAGGCACGCGTGTCCTCCCCCCTGGTGTGCGTGTCCTCCCTGCAGGTGCTCCTGTCCTTTCCAGGTGCATGTGTCCTCCCCAGGTGCGCCTCTCCTCTCTGTAGGTGAGGTTGCTGGGGCAGGTCTTTCTCTGGACTCCTGCTGTTTTTGTCAGCTTGTCTCCCCTCAGTATCTCCTGGGTTTGTTCTACGTCCTGGACCTGCTGGGTTTTATTTCCCCCTGAACCCCGGTGGGTGGAGGCACCTGCCCCACATGCGCAGCCATCAGGGCCGTGAGAAACCAGGTCGGGGGTAACGAGACTCACTCAGTCCCCAGCTTAGTTTGCGGGGTGTGAGTGTTTTTAGCATCCTGCGGTTTCCTGTCCTTGTGGACAGGGTCTCTCTGTAGGTCTCTTCATTATTTTCATAAAGTTTTATACTTCCTTCATGAAGATCTCACATGCATTTTCTAGCCCTGGTCTGTAGAGGCCTTGAGTGTCCCAAGTCATTTTGGGATATGGCGGCGCCGGTGGCCCTGGGCATGGGGGATGCCTGGGGTGCACAGTGCTGGAGAGCAGGCAGCATGGCCAGGCACGTTCTCCATTGGGCCCCTGCCTGTGTCTGCCCACACGAGGCCACTTAGCAGGGTCTGGGGTCTGGCTCTCGGCCATCAGTAGAGGGGTGAGTAGGAGGGAGGGATGGGCCACGCGGGCTGCATAGCAGGTTGTCCTCAGGGGAGTCACCAAGCCATGGACAGAGGCGTCCTGGCAGGGCAGTTGGCTCCAGAATATGCAGAGGGCCCGGTTCAGGGACTTCTGATCCTGGGACCAGAAAGGCCAGAAAGCATTCCAAACTCTGCACGTTCATCGATGCCAGAGAGGTGGGGAGATGTGCTTTCTCCTCAGGGCTGTGCTGCAGGGGCCTAGGCAGCTGAGCTTTCGTGTGCACACATGTGTCAGCATGACTCTGGATTTCTGGACAAACATCTTGTAAAACAACAGTCGAGCAGCCGTGTTCTGAGCTGAGCAGAACGCCCCAGAGGAGCCGATGAGCTCAAGCTGCAGGTGCCCCATAGCATGCTGGCCCCAGGACACGCTTTAGCTACTAAGATGACGTCTTTTAAAAATAACAAGCAGGGCCGGGCACGGTGGCTCACGCTGTAATCCTAGCACTCTGGGAGGCTGAGGTGGGCGGATTGCTTGAGCTCCGGAGTTCAAGACCAGCCTGAGCAAGAGTGAGACCATGACTCTACTATAAATAGAAATAAATTAGCCAAAACAACTAAAAATAGAAAAAAATTAGCCAGGCATGGTGGCATGTACCTGTAGTCCCAGCTACTCGGGAGGCTGAGGCAGGAGGATCGCTTGGGCCCAGGAGTTGGAGGTTGCTGTCAGCTAGGCTGACGCCATGGCACTCTGGCCCAGGCAAAACAGTAGACTCTGTCTCAAAAAAAAAAAAAGTAAAAATAACAAGCAGCAGCAGGGAGTCTGTTCCCCTTCCAGCACCACTGGAGCCAGCTCCGAAGGGCTCCTGCTCGTCACAGCTTCTCGAGGGTCCGTGTCTCTGGCCCTCCCTGTTCAGGTGTCTCCATGCTCCGAGGCACATGCTCTTGTCCTGGCCTTGCTGGGGGAGGGGCTTCCACAGGCGTGTGACTGGACTTCCCTGTGCTAGGCGGGCTCTCCAGGACGCCCTGAGGAGGCTGCTGGCTTTGTTTGGAGAGACCCTGAAGGCAGCTGTCGCCCTGAGGAGTCAGATTGGAGAGCGCGTGGGGCTCTGCCTGGATGATGCAGGCACCGCAGGTGCAGACCAGGCTCTGCCAGCAGGTGAGTGTGCCAGGCCCCTGCCCTGTGCCCGTGGGCCCTGCTGTGGGCTAGGTGCTCCGTGAGGGCAGCCGCACTGGGGTGCTCTTGGGAGCTGCCTTCCCCTTTCTGTTGTCAAAACTGCAGAGGGGTTTCCGCCTAGGTCTAGCTGCTCGCCACACAGAGAGCCAGTTTTTGAGCCAGGGATTGCCTAGGAAGAAAGGAATTTTTAAAATATGAAAGGTTGGAAGAATGAGGAATCAGCCTCGAATCCGTCTCCCTGACTGAGGGAGAATATGAGCTCTGGAGGAGTGGCCGGGGACGCCGGGGCAGGCTGTGAGGGTGGCGAGTCTCGGTGTCGGAGTCTGTCCAGGGCCTGCAGAAATTCCGCCACTTCTGGGAAAACTCAGGTCCCGTTGTTAGTCGAAAGTTTCAGGGTTCTGGCCACAAGCTCTGCCGGCCTGAGAGCCTAAACCACGCAAGGAGAGGTCATGAAGCCCGGAGGGTCGTTAGAACTTGTTTGTAGCGGGTCACGGTTCCCGCCAACCCCTAGAGAAGGCTGAGCACCGTCCACGGTGGGCTTGCTCCGGGCGCTGCTGTACCCTGCTTAGGTTGTGGTTCTCAGCTGATGATGTCATGGCACACGCGTGCTCACTCAGCGGTGTGCGTCGTGTCCGTGTGCTGTTTGCAGCTCCGACGCTTGACGAGTCGTGGTCTGACGCGGCCCTGCTGGAGGTGGACAGGACTGTGTCTGAGTGTGCGGAGATGTCCTCCGCGGCCGAGGTCAGCAGCCACGTGCGTGAGAGCTTCCTGATGAGCCCCGACAGCGCGCTGGGGTGCGAGCAGACAGTCAGGAGAGTCTACCAGAGCCTGGGCCTCGCCGTGGATGGCCTCCTGGAGATGGTGCTGGACTCCACCAGGCAGGTGAGGCCGGAGGCGTGTGGAGAGGTGAACAGACCAGATAGTCAACGACCTAATGGCATGGGGGACGCCGGCCCTGTTGCGACGGCCATGCATGCTGCTGGCCGTCCGCGTAGCGTCCCAGGGCTCTCCCCAGCTGTGTAGCCTGCCAGGCTGCGCAGTTGCTGTCCTGAGTTCTCAGGTTGACTTGACCTCTCAGCCCTGACTGGGCTCATGCCAGGAGGAGAAGGCCCAGGAGGGACAGGCCTCTCTGCTTGCCGTGGCCTGTGGCGTCCGTAGGGGGGCTGAGGCCCCTCTAGTCCTATCGCCTTGCCCTGGCCTCGCCTGTAGGGACGGCCCAAGGGGCCTGGGGCTGGATGGAGAGTTGTGCTGATAACTGTGCAAGCTTTGGCTATGTTTGACATGCAGTTATGATTTTCAAATGTTTTTTAACAGCTGGAGGAGGCACGACAAATTCATTCTCGTTTTGAAAAAGAATTCAGTTGTAAAAATGAGGAGACGGCGCAGGTCGTCAGGAAGCACCAGGAGTTGTTGGCGTGCTGGGAGGAGCAGAGCGCGGCCAAGGCCGGGCTGGAGCTGGAGCTGCACACGGCTGAGGGTGAGCGGCACCTGCTGGGCTCCGGGCGCCTGGAATGGGATTTTGAAAAGCAAAACATAAACGTAAAATAACACGGATGCGTGAGGTGCCGGTGATTTTCTGCAGTGAAACAGTTGCAATTGGGAAGAAGGGGTGGCTCTGGGGAGTCAGCGCTGCCCTTGGGCTCCTGGTATAGACAGGCACTGGGTGTCACGTGTGGCGGGGGAGGCTCACACGTCCACCTGCCAGGGGAGTGCTGGCCGGGCCTTCCAAGCAGGCACCTCATCTCTGCCTGCGACCCTCAGGTTCCGGGCAGGCAGCTTACCTGGGGTCTCCGCTTGGGGCTCTGTGGCAGGCAGGCAGGGCTCGGCAGCCTTGACGCTGCGGGGGCTCTGACACAGCTCTGCACAGGCCTGGCCTTGTCTGGTCTCCCCTCCGCTGGGGTCAGGCCTCTGTCTGCTCCTCCAGGGGCTGCAACGGCACTATCAACGCTTGACACTTAGCCCCAGGTCCCTGGGCAGACGCCTGTCCCCGCAGGACAGTGGCCTTTGTACCTCTTGCTGCTCTGGGAGTCACCTCTGTCTGGCTGGTGTCCCCTGCAGGCATCCTTGAGGGGCTGAAGGTGGAGAAAGCGGACCTGCAGGAGGCGCTGGGCCGGAAGGAGGAGTCGGAGCGGGACCTTGTCTTGGAGCTGGAGGGCCTGCGGCAGCAGCTGGGGCAGGCGGCCCGGGAGCAGGCGTCGCTAAAGGAGGAGTACGCCCTCCTGTGGAGCCAGAAGGAAGCTTCCGCTGTGCAGGCGGAGGAGAGAGAGGCAGGTGAGGAGCCCGTGTCTGCAGGGGCACGGCAGTGGCCTATCCCGGCTTGTGTGGAAGCCGGCCTTCCCGGAGGGTGAGAATGTGAAGACAAGGGCACCCCTTCCTCAGGAGGGATCCTCGCCTGAGACACTGGCTCTGGTGAGGCTGTGAGGGACCAAGTGCGGCTCGCTCGCTCGTCCGCTGCCTATTTAGAGGCGGCCACCGTCCTTGTCGGCGCCTGCATGGTGGGAAGAACCTGGGGGAGGAGCAGCTGTGAGGACACCGGGAACAAGGCCACTTTCAAAGTTTATTCACAAAAACAAGGGGTCTAATGTCAACCCTAATTAGGGAAACGTGCAGTTTTAGCAAAAGTAGTCAGTATATCTTCAGACTTTTAGATATTTTAGTCTTAAAAATATTTAAAATGAAAATGGTCAAAACATAAGAAACTTAAAACAGTGAGTTTGCAGGTGGCCGCGTGGCGCGTGCGCGGCCTGCCGTGTCCCGGCCACCCTGGGAGGGGCCTTGCGTCTCTGCCGCCTCTCCAGACGGAGAGTCCTTGGGGAGCCTGCACTTCGTGTCAGAGCCTCGGCGCTGTGCACACACCCACTGACGCAGAAAATCCCATGTTTGTTCTCAGAGTTCTTCATTCTTTTTAATTTTCTCTGTGACAAAACACTAGCTTTTGGTTTTGTTGGTCTTCTCCCTTCTCTGTCCTGCTGCGCTGATCTCTGCCTTGCTGTTCCCGCCGCCCACTCCCGCACCACGCCAGGGTGCAAGCGCCTCTGCGCCCTCCTGCCGCGGGCAGTCGGTGCGCGTCACCTGTGCTCCTGGTCACTGGCCTGTGGCGCTTGCACTGACATCAAGTCCCACAGCTGTGATTCCTGTGAACCTGGGGCGTCCTGTGGTGAAGCCTCATTCCTGTCCAGGGCGCCGGAACCCTGCCCCAGGCTCCCCTTGCTCCCTTTCCCTGCCACGCCCCTCGGTCCTGCTTGCAGATCTGATAGGGATTTCTGTGGCAATATTGGCCTGGCTTTTCCCCTTGTGTGTCTTTATTAGTCCCTCTGTCTTCAGTCTTTTTACTTTTAGTGGTGTCTCTCACAGATGCTGTGTTGGCTTTTTTTTTTTGAGACAGAGTCTCACTTTGTTGCCTAGGCTAGAGTGAGTGCCGTGGCGTCAGCCTAGCTCACAGCAACCTCAAATTCCTGGGCTCAAGCGATCCTCCTGCCTCAGCCTCCCGAGTAGCTAGGACTACAGGCATGTGCCACCACACCCGGCTAATTTTTTCTATATGTATTAGTTGGCCAATGAATTTCTTTCTATTTATAGTAGAGACGGGGTCTTGCTCTTGTTCAGGCTGGTTTTGAACTCCTGACCTCGAGCAATCCGCCCGCCTCGGCCTCCTAGAGTGCTAGGGTTACAGGCGTGAGCCACCGTGCCCAGCCTGTGCTGACTTTT